GATATTGAATAGCCTGCTGGATATTTTAGTCTTACAATCCCTTTTCCCAGCGGATCACTTCAATTGGATAAAACTCTGTACCTTCATAACAGCAGGACACCATGCTGTTTGGAAGCTTTATTTGCCTCATTTTTTGCCATCTATTGGCCAAGCTGGGCAGACAAACAATTTATGTTAAACACATTACTTTCAGGTACTCAGTTTACAGATCACACCTAATTGGTTCACTCCATGATCCAAGAAGTATGCATAAAAGGTCGTTGCTGGGCTCTGAGGAGCCACGCCACAACTGGCTGGTGGTGGAGCATCAGAAGAGAGAACACCACTGCTGTTCCTGGTCCAGCACTGAGGTGACTCAGTTCTGGTATCATTACTACTCAAAGCAGTCCACAGACCAGGACCTACAGCACTAACATCACCCAGGCGATTGTTAGAGAAGCTAGAATGCTAGAGATGTCAGGTTCCTGGCTTTCAGGACCTGAGGAAGCAGATTTTGCATTTCAGTATAACAGGGTGGCAGGGGATCCTAAAATAGATAATTCTCATTAAGGTCATGGAGAGTCAACAAAGGGCCAATGAAGATCTTTCAGAATTATTAAAGAATAATGCAGACATATCACGGACACAGATATAGATCCTGAAATTCTGGAGAATTTTAGAATGGTTAATGTGTTCTATGTCGTACTGTGTCCAGATATACAGAGGAAGGTGAATAAAATTGATGGTACCATGGAAATGCTACTTCCCAGTTTGTGGACATATCTTTTTAGTATATAATGGAAGACAGACAGGTGAAGAAGCTGTGTTTCCTTCTTGTACTGGGACCAGGAACTTGAGGGATGTGGATGGAGACAATTGGAACCGATGTGCATGAGAGACCCATGGGGAGTCTGACAATGACAATCTTTCTCTTGATTTTGATTTTCACCCTTTAGCCACAGACTTGCCTGGGCCCTCTGCACCTTTCCAATATGTTGAAATCAGAAAGTGGCTTATAGTTGTGGGAAGATTTTAGGACTCAGTGTCCTTGCTTTGGGTCACCCTGTTTGGCTGGGAATTTACCAACAAGGGGATGGGTAACTTTGGGTATCTGATTTGGAAACTATATTCTTTGCCTTCTCTCTACATCACACTAATTATATTAAAGTCCTTTCCATTAAAGATCTTACGTGCTAGAGTATGTATCGTTGTTAAGGTGGAGGTGGCATAACCTATTTAGAGCAGGCAAGTTTGTGGTCTCAGGGTGCCCCTCAACTTTCCAGTAATAAAAGTAGGTCAAGTGTTAATGCAAATGGGTTTTCTTACCATCTCATTGAGAATTTGGGCGGGATAAAATTGTTTGGGGTCATGGGAGACACTAGGCTGTGGGTTTTAGGTGGTTACCAACAGTTCATCAGACTCTGTCAAATGTCCCTAAGGGGAAAACTCACCTTAGGTTAAGAACTAACACCCAGAATTTGAGACTGAATGTATCCTAACATAACTGCAATTAAGGGCATTTCCTTTGATGGATTTAACTTTGGGCAGATGACTAACCCCACCAAGAACCCTGTCTGCAACAGAGAATAGAGTTCATCAATGTACTTCCTCGTGGAATGGATGTTCTTAAAAATTAAATCACAGACTCCCTATTTAATTTCAGAGTCAGGTTAGAGTGGATAAAGTAACCTACATAATAAATATTTGATAAACACTATAAAAAGGGATTAAATTACTGCTTTTAATGTGACAGAAGTAAAAAGCTTCTAATCGTTTTAGCTAGGGTCATGAGTCTTATGAGTTCAGTGCCATGTTCTCTTATCACAAGAAGTCTGCTTGAGTCCTGCTGTGAAGAATGACAGCAACTGTCAGGATACCAAGATTTATGTCCCCAGCACAAGCTAAAACTTTGAAGAAAAGAGGAACCTAATCCACACCCATTCCTAAATCATGACTTGGTTAGAAAATTTTAATGTAGAAATCAGAAAATGCACTAGTTAATTTAGTGTCTTAAAAGGAGGCTTATTCATAATGAGCGAAAAATTGTAATTACTTTGCATTCTAACCTGACCTCTAGGGAACAGGGACAACTTTTTCCACAGGGGAATTATGTGCATAGAGGTTGGAGTAACAAGAAGAAATGAGAATAATGAGCAGATTCAAGAAAGCTTTGTAAACACATAGGCCCACAAAATGGCATATATAATCTTGGGCTGGAAGAGGCGTGCTTTTGTTGTGTATGTGTTTGTGTTGAGTCTTATTCCTGCTTAGGGGACAGATGGGTCACTCCTCCCTGTTGTGTCTTCTGGGTACAGAGCTCAGGTCTCTGTCACTTCCATCCAATAAGGAATTCAGATCTCCACACAAGACCTTCTCAGAGATCTGGTCCAGGTGAGCCCAGCAAACCAGTTGACCCTCAGGTGACAGAAATAAGGCCAAGAATTTCCCTGTTGTCATCTTAGAAACTATTTACCTTTAACCAAAGGCAAGAGAGACTTGTGTTTTTTCATTTGCCTGATTAAATACTAACTGCATTCATTTAAACAGCTGTGTAATGTTTCATACTGTGAAATACATGTTGATCATTTTTATATTAAATCATTATTATCAGTAAATTGTTATTAAAAATACTCAGAAAATATGTGGAGTTTAAGTTCAAAGCATGGTGGTCAGTGGGCAACTTTGCTCCATGAACACTGAGCAATGTCCACAGACATTTCAGGCTCATAGTGAGGTGCAAGGGGAGGTGCAGGATGCTCCAAACATCTTACAATGCACAGGACAGACTTCACCACAGAGAATGACCTGCCCAAATGTCACTCATGCTGACATGCAGAAAATGGCCCATTTTCTCCTGGTTGTGCATTATGTAAGATACTTATCTAAATAGATGATAAAAATATCACTATTTCTTACTTGACAAAAGTTTGTTTTTATTATTTTCCATTTCTGCTATCAGAAAGTGTAATCAAGGTGGAGAAGTACACCTGAGCCCAGTCTCTCAACAACCACCTTGATTATTAAATCTTTTTTCCACTTCATTCACTTAATTTTTTTCTCTCCCCTCTTCTCCACTTCTGCCCCATCCTCTTATCTGTGCATATGGCTTCACATTTTTACTGGAATTAAGCATCTTCTTACAGATTGTGCACTGGCTGTTCCCTCTGCTGGGCACAGACTTTGTCACATATCCTCACATATCTCTTCCACCTCTTACTTGAGGTTTTTGTTCAAACATGGCACTTATACAGGTCTTATCTAAAAACAAACAAAAACCTATAACTCTCTTCATTCTCCTTTTTATACTTGGATTCCTTTATTTCTTCCCAACTGTCCCCTTCTAAAATGTTATATAATTTTATTGTTTGCTTATACATTTTTTCTCTACCATTGAATCTGAATATCATTCTACAACCCCCTAAATGCCTCACCTAGACAGTGCCTAAGGACAGTCAGGATTCAATTTACATTCCTGAAATAAAATAATTTATTAGTAAAACTGTATAACACAAGCACAGGAAAAAATTTGATTAGTACAATTTCTATATAAGAGGTGTCTCTGAGGATCTCCTAAAGGAATATTATAATTAACTTCTTATAAAAATATAAATTGATTACTTTCTTTGTTTTTGTTGAGTCTTCAACAAAAACAAAGAAAATAATCCAGTCAAAAAATGGGCAGAAGAGGTAAAAAGAAACTTCTCTGAAGAGGAAATGCAAATGGCCAACAGGCATATGAAAAAATGTTCAACATCACTTCTAAACAGGGAAATGCAAATCAAAACTACCATGAGATACCATCTTACACCAGTGAGAATGGCACATATTAAAAAAAAACTAGCAACAACAAATGTTGGCAAGGGTGTGGAGAAAAAGGAACTCTCCTGCACTGTTGGTGGGAGTGCACACTGGTCCAACCACTACGTAGCTGTGTGGAGATTTCTGGACCTACTAAACATAGAGCTTCCATATGATCCAGCAATTCCACTCCTAGGTATTTACCCAAAGGACCCAGAAACATCAATTCCAAAGAGCACCTGCACCCCTATGTTTATAGCAGCACTGTTTACAATAGCTAAGCTTTGGAAACAACCCAAATACCCAAAAATAGATGACTGGGTCAAGAAGATGTGGTACATATACACCATGGAATACTACTCAGCATTCAAAAAAGATAAACACATGCAATTTGCAGCAACATGGATGGAGCTGGAAAGGATCATGCTCAGCGAAATAAGCCAGAAAGAAAAAGAAAAATATCGGATGGTCTCACTCATAGCAGGAATCTAGAAAACTTCAATAAGGGACCAGGAAAAAGAATAAGTATAAGAAAGAAAATATCAAAATCAACAAACAACTATGAAGCAGAGACACTCTATGGGGGGTGGGGGCGGGGAAGGGAGGGATTGGGGTCAAAATAAAGGGGTTGTAATTGTATGGGGAATATAAAAAATAAAATTTAAATAAAATGTGAAAAAAAATAAAGTCTAAAAATAGTAAAGTAATAAAGTAATAATAAGTGAAAATAAAAAAATGATTGTAAATCAAAAAAAAAAATAAATGGAAGCATTTCAAGTAGGTTAGAAACAAAAGTTTGTAAAAATAGGGCCTCCCCTGGTGGTGCAGCGGTTGAGTGCTGGCCTGCAAAGCTGCCGGCAGCCTCTGCAGTGCTGGTTCAATTCCCGGCCGCCAGCAAGGGTCCCATATAGCGCGTGGAACTCTCCTGCCATGCCTGCTGCTCCCCTCAGAAGTGTATTTTGTTAGTCTGCCTGTTCTGTTCCCCGTTCTGGCTTGGTGAATTCTCTCATCCTCCTGCGCTTCTGACTGTACCCAGTGCTTGTGTAAATAAATAAATAAATGTTTAAAAAAGTTTGTAAAAATAAGTCTTATTTCCCTTTTTTCCTAAAAGTTACCTGTACTACATGAAACCAATCAATGATACACAAGTTTCAGAATTTCTTCTCCTCAGATTTTCAGAGAAAGCAGAACAACAGCCCCTCTTATTAGGGATTTTCCTCACGATGTACCTGATCACTGTGTTTGGAAACCTGCTCATCATCTTGGCTGTCAGCTCTAACTCCCACCTCCAGACTCCCATGTACTTCTTCCTCTCCAACCTGTCCTTTGCTGACATCTGTTTCACCTCCACCACCATCCCAAAGATGCTGGTGAACATCCAGACACAGAGCAAAGCCATAATCTATGAAGGCTGTGTCACCCAGGTGTATTTTTTCATGCTTTTCACAACATTGGATATCTTCCTTCTGACCGTGAAGGTCTATGAAGGCTTTGTGGTCATCTGCCACCCCCTGTACTACACAGTCATCATGAATCCCCGGCTGTGTGGGCTGCTTGTTCTGGTCTTCTGGATCATCAGTGTTATGCATTCCTTAATACAATCTTTAGTGTTGTTACGGCTGTCCTGCATAAATGTGGAAATCCCACACTTTTTCTGTGAACTCAATCAGGTTGTCAAACTGGCCTGTACTGACACCTTTCTTAACAACCTGGTGATGTATTTTGGATTTTTCTTACTGGGTGGTTTGTCCCTTTTTTGTATCCTTTACTCTTACTCTAAGATAATTTCCTCCATACATAGACTCTCATCAGCTCAAAGCAAGTATAAAGCATTTTCCACCTGTGCATCTCACCTCTCAGTTGTCTCCTTATTTTATTGTACAAGCTTTGGCGCGTACCTTAGCTCAGCTGCTTCCCAAAGCTCATGCTCAAGTACAATAACCTCAGTGATGTACACTGTGGTCACACCCATGCTGAACCCCTTCATCTACAGTCTGAGGAACAAAGACATAAAGGTGGCTCTGACAACATTCATTGTAAAGAAAACTATGAAAAGGCAATTGTTTTATGGTGAAAGAAGCACCATAATTTTAGACAATATAGACTAATAGAAATTTGGCTAATTGATTAAACTAAAAAGCAGAGTTTACTCTTTTATTTTACTTTTTTATTATGGAATTTCCTCTTATACCTCAATTTCTCTATTCAATTATTAACTCACTTTATTGAGCTTTTTGTTCTTTCTGACCTCTAACAGCTTTTCCCTCTGTGGTTTACCAACTTTACCAAAATTATTCCAAACTTAAACCAGAAAAAATGTAGATATTACAATTTACTTAAAATGGCAAAGCGTATTTTTAGAACACTTTTTGCAAATGTCACATACCATATCAGTACTTTGTTTGTTGTAATTAAAAGTCATCACATTCTGTTACTTGTAAGGCAAAAAAAAAAAAAAAAATGTTGTGACCAAAGAAGCTTATATAATTTGATAACAGAGATAACAAAGGAAGTATGATAACAAAGCTGCTCAGTTTTGAGTGTGTCATTCTTTTGTGTTCACTCTATTAACCACTCTCCTGACAACAAAGACGCTAACATACAGTGGGCTCCATACACACTAGGTTTTATTCTCCTCCTTAGGATCCTGTTCTCCTTCAGCTCAGTGCATGCAAAGCCCCTGTTAGTCCAAGTCAATATGATTATCACACATTTGAGTCTTTACCAAGACTCAATTTAATAAAAATATTGACATAATATGACCTTACAATCATAGGTAAACTACAATATGATGGGGAAAAAATAAATCACATATTATATTACAATACACAATATTTGTATTTCATGTGGTACATCTACATCTTCAAATATGGAGGATTCAAGTTTGGGTTCAAGGGAGTTAATAGTGATTGGAATTGAAAAAAAATTGTATAGAGTTGTTGTCATGTCTCTGCTAATAGTTGTTTGTTGCTGCTAAAGCTAGGAATGCTTTTTTAGCTCTAAAGGAAACAACTCCCCTTCTCACTTTTTTCATAAGGAAAAGGATAGTGAGTTAACGCTATTATTTTATCATACTTTATATATCTCTATGGTATTCTATCATCTTTTATAATGAAAGAATGATTATGGGAAAACTTAATTCCTGTCTAATCTCGGATTTAGGTTCATAGCTTTCCTACTAAAAAAACCCTCAAACCTCTCCTAGTTACCTGGACATTAACAGCATAGAATTTTTAAACATGGTCATCTGAGATAAGTATAACAATGAATGCCAAACAATACCCAAACGAGTGCATTTTATTACATTAAGAACTCTCCTTACTTCTATTCACTTTGACTGCAGTATCAGTTAGCTGCTACTGACAGGCCATCCTACATGTAAGTGAGTTAATATCAGGCTTTGAGGGCCAGGAAGAGTGTGTGATGAGCTTCTCTGCCCTGGCTGGGCTCTGCAGGGCTTCATAGGCAGCTTGAGTCTCTACATTGTGTTTCTGAGGCTCATCAAGGGTGATGCCTGTGCCAGGGGGTCTTTTCCAGGAATATATGTTCAGTTCACCATCATTATGTATCTACTCTTATCTTCTAATTTGCAAAAAATAATAATATAAGGGTCCTCTCTCTTGGAGCAAGGGGTTAAGCACTGTACTATGAAGCAATCCACAACCTCTGGAGCACGAGTTCAATCCCCAGCCAGCCAGGGAGTAACCCACATGGCGAGACAAATCTCTCTTGTCTTCACCCGCGCTCCCCTCAGCAGTGTGTTTCAGTCAGTCTGCCTGTTCTCTTCCCCACTCTGTCTCTGGTGAATCCTCTCACCCCCCACAACTCTGGCCTGTACTCCAGCTCTTGCATGCATAAATAAATAATCTTTAAAAAATATCAAATGTGAATTTCTTTCATTTATTTCTGTGATTCCTATTTGGTATTTCCCTTTGTTCTCAAGTAGAAGTGATAGCTCTCACCTCTGTTCATTTTGAATCAGTCAATTGTCTGTGTATTATAATCTGATTCAGGCATTTAAAACTTTTTTTTTTTAAAATAACAGAGTAAATAGGAGTAATATAAATTGTACATATTTACCATGTATTTTTTCATAAATAAAAAGAACCATACAAAGCTACAGTACATGTTGTATGTTTCCATTTGTGTCTAAAGTGTGTGATAAGGAAGAATGTCATCAACATGGCGGCCAGGAAATGCTGCGAGTAAGACCTCCCATAAAAAAAAGTTAATAGGGTGGAAAAGCGGCAGGTCTGTGAGAGAACTGGGACACACAAGATAAATGGGCTACTCTGACAAACTGCCCTAAGAAGAAAGTAGCCATAAAAGAGGACTAGAAGGAAGGAAAGCTCAGAACCCTGCTACCCTCCCCCACCCACAAAGTCAGTACTCTCTGACCAACAGAAAGGAAGAAAAAAAAAAAACTAGAACAAGCAACAAGAACAAAGTAGGTATCAAGTGGGACTGTGAGTGGAAAGGAACTATTTTAGCCACCGCACCCTGTGAACTGGAACTGTGGAGAACCATGCAGGATTCACCATGGAGGTGAGCAACAGCTCTGGGCTCCATTGGAGAAAAAAAAGACTCCCAGGAGACCTACGAACAGCCCAAGGCCAGCCAGTAAGCTTGTGCAGAAAAGCGGCACGCTTGAAAAGCATACACGGATCGGGGCTGCCCAGGTCCCTACTCCTGCGACCTAGGCTTGCAGGGAGACACGCGGGGACCCTCATTGAGGTGAATGTCCCTCACTGAGTAATCAGAAACCAGGCACCCAGACACGGGAGCTGGGTGCAAAAGGCAACATTTCTGCGGGCACTGAACTGGGCTACAGCCTGTATCCTGGACCTGAGGGCTTTGGGAACTGAGACCCGGGGCATGAAATTTGGGGTGTGGGATCCCCAAGAATGTGGGGCACAAGGCAGACACAGCACCCCCATGCTTTTGAGGCTCTCCACACCACTCCCACTCTGTTTCCCCACCCACCAGGTTAGAAACAGTTCCTGAAGGACACTAGGAAAGATCTTTGGAGCCACCTAGTGACCAGAAAAAAAATCACCAACACCCTATAGTTGGAAACCAGGGATCATAAATAGAGCAGGGAACTTTCTTCAATAAAGACTGCTTGAATTAACATATAGAATTTGGAGGAGGCGGATCAACATGGCGGCGAGGAAATGCTGCGAGTAAGATCTCCCATTAAAAAAAAGTTAATAGGGAGGAAAAGGTCCCAGTGAGAACTGGGACATGGAAGATAAACGGATGACTCCAGCAAACTACCCGAAGAAGAAAGTTGCCATAAAAGAGGACTAGAAGGGAGGAAAGCTCAGAACCCTGCTACCCTCCCCCACCCACAAAGTCGGCACTCTCCGACCAACAGAAAGGAGGAAAAAAACAAAAAACTAAAACAACCAACAAGAACAAACTACGCATCAAGCAGGACTGTGAATGGAAAGGAATTATTTCAGCCACCACACCCTGTGAGCTGGAGCTATGGAGAACCCTGCAGGATTCGCTGTGGAGGTGAGCGAATGGCTCTGGGCGCCATTGGAGAAAAACAAGGACTCTGGAGACCTGCACACAGCCCCAGGCCAGCCGGTAAGCTTGTGCGGGAAAGTGGTGTGCTTGAAAAGCAAACGCGGATCGCAGCTGCGCAGGTCCCTGTGCCTTTGACCTAGGCTTGCGGGGAGATGCGCAGGGGTCCTCACTGAGGTGAATGTCCCTCCCTGAGTAATCAGAAACCAGGCGCCCGGGCACAGGAGCAGGGTGCAAAAGGAGCCATTTCTGCGGACACTGAACTGGGCTACAGCCGCATCCTGGACCTGAGGGCTTTGGAATGGAGACCCGGGGCACGACATTCAGGGCATGGGTTCCCCACAACGGTGGGGCACAAGGCAGACACAGCACCCCAAAGCCGTTGAGGCTTTTCCCACCACTCCCACTCTGTTCCATGTCCCACGGGGTGAAAAAAACAGCTCCCCAAGGACACTAGGAGAGATCTCTGGCGCCACCTAGCGACCAGAAAAGAAATCACCAACACCCCATAGAACAGGGACCTTTCTTCAGAAAAGACTGCTTGAAAATGGCGGAAGACTCCCGGAGGAGCCAGTGGTGAGTTGGAAAGTTCACCCACGCCAGGCCCCTTCTCACCAGCAGTCCACACCCAGAGGGGGAGCGGGCACCCATGGCTGGGGCAGACCGGGCATGCAGAAGAGTGTGCCCGAGACTGGGCGTGCGTCCAGCATCGCCATTTTAGAACAGGGACATTTCTCCAGTAAAGACTGCCTGAAACTAGCAGAAGGCTCCCGGAGGAGCCAGAGGGGAGCAGGGAATTTCGCCCACACCAGACCTTTTATGGCCTGCAGTGCGAGCCCAGAGGGGGAGCGGAAACCCACCACCGGGGCAGACCAGGCACGCAGGGGAGTGTGTCCCCACATCGCCATTTTAGAACAGGGACCTTTCTTCAGTAAAGACTGCTTGAAGCCGACAGATGGCTCCCAGAGGAGCTACAGGGGAGCAGAGAAGTTCACCGAAGATGCCGGCCAGTCCCGGCAACACAGTGTCCCAATGCATACAACAAATTAGAAAACAGACAGTAGGGAGTAGAAGAACCACAAGCAACCTAGCAACTCCTCAGGAAAAAAGCACACAACAAAAAGAAAACCACCTCCCAGATTGTAACGAGAGTAACTTGGAAGAACTTTTGAGCCTTCCAGAAAGAGAAATTCAAATTTACATGATTAAAAAAAATGACATAACTCATAAAGGAAAACAATGATAACAGAAAAATAATCAACGATCAGAAGAATGAAACTGAGTCCCTAAAGAGGGAAGTAAAAGAAATGAAGGAGATCAAAGAATTAATGGAGGCACTAAAGAACTCTGGGAAAAGCAATGAAAGCAGAATAGATGAAATGGAAGAACGAAAAAACACTCTTGAAGACACAGAAATAAAAAGAACCAAAACAGAAAAGGAAAGAGAAGTACGAAGGAAAAAGACAAAAGAACGACTTCAGGAATTATCTGACTCCATGAGGAAAGGAAATATAAGAGTTATAGGAATACCAGAAGGATAATAGAGAGATGTAGGAACAGAGAAAATATTCAAGGA